AGACCATGTCATTCACTGACTATGCCTAGGACCACATTGTTGAATTGTAGCACCCTTGTGCTAATGATCAATAGGAGTTTGCAAAGATATATATGTTTGGTGCATATTATACAGTTGCTAACTTTTTTTTTTTTTTTTTTTTTTTTTTCAATAGAAGAGCTTTGTGTAAAAATATAAGGGAGCAAAAGTTATCTTATTATAGCGGACCTTCCACAAAAAAAAATAACAAAAGTCTGCCCAAAGTTCTCCCCTATAATAAAAACTCACTCCAAAATACAAATTGCTTTAAATCCATTGAAAAAGAAAGTTTGTACAAATATAAACTTTCTGCACTTCCAGGAGCTGCGAGTGATGTCAACCATGCCCCCGGGAAGAGCTGAGCTCTAGAAATTGGCTGGAGGGCATTCTCACTGAATTATGAGAGCTCAGCCTTCCCAGTAGGCAGAGATGATGTCACCCAAGCCTACCAGATGCATGAAGGCTGAAGTAAGTTTTGTTTTTAACTTTATTTTGAAATGGATTTTTAAAAGCTGATGTTTAATCTGTTTATAGTTTGCCTTCCTGGGTTTCCCCCTCTTTAACTTTTCGTTTTCATTTCCTACCTGATTTTAAACACAGTGGCATCATCACTGGGTCTCTGCGCTTTTTTAAAGCAATGCAGGGTAGATCGTGGCTGGTTGGAGGCGCAGGCAGGGTGCTGTACATAAAACAGCAATGGGACTGCCTGATTGACCCTAATCCCCTAAGGCAGAGGCGTGCCTAGGGTTGGTGTCACCCTGTGCAGTAACACTTGGTGACACCCCCTCCGACGATCCTCGCAGAATGGATCGGATCTGCGGATTGAGCATAATGGATCGGACTCCAATCCATTATGCTCAATCCGCAGATCCGATCCATCCTGCGGGGATCATCGGCTTTCTTTACAACTTACGTTTTCTTGGAGCGGGTCCGGTTTTACCCTGTATAGGTTGCATGCCGACAATCCCCGGCATGCAACCTATATGGGGTGACACCGGACCCGCTACAAGAAAAGGTAAGTTGTAAAGAAAGCCGACGATCCCCGCAGGATAGATTGGATCCATCCTGCGGGGATTGTCGCCTTGCTTTACAACTTACCTTTTTGTGGAGCGGGTCCGGTGTCACCCCAAGCAGTTGGTGCCACACGGTGCGGATTGCACCCCCTCACCTGCCTCGGGACGCCACTGCCCGAAGGGGTTATGCAATTAAAATGCCTTGATAGGTGGATGCCAGTCTGGGGGAGCTGCTATTCCTAGACAGGTTGTATCTGCATGCAGACCACCCTAGGTAACGCCCGCATGCAGTGCTGAGCCTCCATGATTGGAAAAACTGAAATCCAAAGAATGAAAGGGGCAGGCCAGGGACAGTCCGGATAGGGGGAAAAGAGCTAGTGGATGCTGGACATCATCCATCTAGGAAATGAAGTAGTCTCTCTCTGATTGCTGTAGTTTCTAAGGCACACTGTGGGTTCGTTAGGGGCCTTGCACCCACACACCACATGCATGTCACATTGGGAGCTGTATTCTTGAAGATGCTGGATCTCAGTTGGCAGCAATGGGACTGCCTGCACAGGGATGTACAATACACCTGTTCATCCCCATGTGTTCATCCCCATGTGTTCATCCCCATGTGGGTACATTAAAAAAAACAAAACTTTAAATAGCGGCCATGTTGTGAGCTTTGTGCTATTATTTTTTTTTATTTGAAATGAGAGGATATTAGTGTTTGATGGCTGGTTGTCTTTTGTATGAAAATGTCTGTAGCTTAATCTGGAGGTTTTTATCAGATGTCGCTATTCCCATTAACCACCACTGTTAGATTGGAATGGGTTGTGATGGATGAATCAGATACTTGGTGTGATTATTTAATGAGTTGTGTGTGATGTCAGACATTCCTGACAAAGGCAGTATGCCAAAACGCGTCGAGCGGGTGACATCATTCTGCACGCACATTGTACACAGAGGAGGCTTGCTGGCATTTTTTCCTTGTGTTGGTTGGTGGTTGGTGAAGTCTATAGAGAACCCTCCCCCCCCCCACATATGGGCAGTTATATAGTAGTATCCAGCAGTCATATTATGATGCTTGTGAATAGTTTAGTGCCACTTAAGCACTTTTAAGATGTGGGTTGTTTACTTATTGCTTTTTTATATTTTATTAAACCGTTATTACTCTATGAGCAGCAGCTTTCTCTTTTTAGGTACTCCTCCAAACTTTTTGAGCTATGACTAATAATAATAAGGTTTGAAGAAAAAAACCTGCGCTACACCCCAGACAATACAATAAGTGAATAAATGTGTGAACAAAATATATATTCTAAAACAATAGTGAAACAATTAGTGAACTGCTGCTACTCTTTCCCTGAACACCAGCAAAATACAAAACATATAAAAAATTGGTGCGTTGTAGACTAAAAAATCATAAACATTTATGTGCCATCGATAGCCCCTGTGTGGGCGCACCTTTTGCTCTGTTGGTGTTAGAGCACTGTTTTTAAATTTTTTTTATGTGCAATTGATAGCCCCTGCATGGGCGTGTTTTGTTGCTCCTGTCTTCTTAAATTGTTTATAAATGAATAAAAAAACATTGAAATACAAAAATCATAAACAATAATAATCAAATAATTACTGCTTCATAAAAAAATTGCATAAATTAATTGAAATTATATAAGTCCACATTCATATATTAAATAATTAAAAGTCCCAAAATCCAATAACACAGTGCTATGTGCTAAAGAAATCCTCCAACGGAAAGTGCATAGGTGTCCACAAATGCTTGACACAAAAGAAAAAAATCAGCCTCTTACCAGAGACTTTGATCTCCAATCAAGAGATCAAACGAGCAGATGGTGTTCAGATCCCACACTGACACCCTAGTTAGCCGAGATGAATAGGAGATGTATGGCAGGGGTGTATTTACCACAAGGCAAACAAGGCATTTGCCTAGGGCAGCATTTTTCAGGAGTGCAGCAGCATTTTTCAGGGGGCAGTGCTGCCCCCCCCCCTGAAAGAAGGGGTGGAAGAAGGGACACATGCAGCACCGGAACCAGCTGGGATCTGAGAGAGGCTGCGGGCTGCTTGATGGTGTCTGACTCTTTTCCTGGGGATGTCCAGAGCTGTGAAGGTGAGTGTCTTATCTCTTGCCGGGGTGGGGGAGGTTGCTAGTGTATGGGGGGGGCGGTGGTAGTGGAAGTATCTCTTGGGTGGGGTTGGGGTGTTGTTGGTCAAAGTCAGGCTCTCTTCGTGGGGGAGAGACGTGTTGGTCGGTGTCAGAGTCTCTTTGTGGCGGGGAGCCAATTTTCGCATTGCCTAGGGCAGCATGAAACCTAAATACACTACTGATGTATGGACAACTGCAGGTTCACTTGAACGAATCCATCACATCGGAGAGCTCTCCACATCATGCAAGGAAAGGTTTAAAACAGAAGAAGAAAACTTCATAGTGCGACCCGATAACGAAGCAAAAAATGTATTTAAGTGTTCTTGCATGGCAAGACCACTTACTGTTATCTCACATATATATTCTTATTATTATAGCCAAATTTACCACCCTAACTCCTCCCACAGTTTTTACACTACATAGACAGTAATATACCGAAAGGTGCAGATTGTTCCCGATTGGTGTGCTATTACTTTGTGGAACGTTTCACTGAATGGTTCACGAAATATCGGCGTTTTTGTGGTGAAATTGGTCCCATTGTAATGAATGTAGACTACTGGTGGAGGCAAGAACACTTCACACGATTTCCCCAGAAATTTTAGCTTTTCTAGTAAAGTATTGCACTTACATAGATAAGGTGCATAAAGGCAGTGTAAACATTTAAAATTCCTGCGGTGTCAGACCACCGGCCAGAACAGAAAGCTCCGTTTCTCCAAAAATGGCGTCCTCTGGGATTGGAGAACAGACTGTTCCCAATAGGAGGATTCACCGAAGTATATAATCGGTCCAACCATTTGAGAGTTATGTGTAAGTTGTCTGGAGCCTAAACTACCATGTAATCTGATTATGACCTTCCTATGATTTGGGGGTCATAAAAGCTGGTGAGTGTGATTCCATCGGGTGGCAGTAAATTTGGTTTTTAGGGTTTGTTGGCTTAAATGCTACGCATATTATTGCGCACCATAATACATGCTAAACCATGTGTGTTGACACCCCATAAAGAGGTAAATGGACCCTGAGGTGTAACGTGTACTTTAAGCACGAAGAACATTCACTTTCAAAAGTAGAAACTCTCTACTTCTCTAATTCTCTAGTACTCTGCTCCAGTAATTCGAGCCCATTATCTTCAGGACTAATTTTTGTTAATGGTTTTATTGGCTTTTAGAACTGAAAAATGAACAGAGCTGCGGGAAAATGACAAGAGATCATCCTTCCTCCTCCCAACACGTGTGTTATTCCAGTCAGATGTCAGCACTGTAATAATACAGAGAGGAAGATCCACATGTAGACTTCCAGTGTTCCTGGAGGGTGGCCTTGTGACAGCTGGAAACAATGCTGCTCTGCAAATGTAGTGCGGTCTATCAATGCGGTTTTATGTTTATCTTGAGACACTTTTAGTGAAAAGATCTCAAGCCTTAGAAAAGGATTTAAATGTGTATTTAGAGCTTCCCATTGTGTCTAAGATGAATGGCTTCAGTCTCTAATGGCTTGATTTACTAAAGGCAAATAAACTGTGTACTTTGCAAGTGCAGTTGCACTCTGCAAGGGTTTTTGCTGCAGAGCTTAGTAAATGAGGTGAACTTTCACTTTCACTTTCACTATAAAGTATACCCAATCACATGCAAGGAACATAAAAAACAGCATTTTTGCTTGCACATGATTGGATTATGGAAGTCAGCAGAGCTTCCCCTCATTTACTGAGCTCCGGAGCAATTGCCCTTGCAAAGTACACAGTCTATTTGCCTTTAGCAACCCCTAAATGTGAACTTAGAACAAAGATTACATTTTTATTGTTACATTTATTATTTTATTTATAAAATGTGCAAGTTTTCTTTTCCTGGGAGAGTGCATGTGATCAGCACAGGGTCATTCAGCGCTGTCCAGACAGTGGTCAGGGGTCATGCAGCCTCATAGAACAATCAGGGGAGAATGAAAACTCCTCCTACAAGCTTTAACATGTGCTCTGCTGGAGGTTATTTTTTCAGCACAAGGCCAATCAGCAGTGGTCAGACAGAGGTCAGGGGTTTTGCATCCTCCTAGAGCAGAATGAAAACTCATCCTACAAGCTTTAGCTAGTGCTTGGCTGGACACTGTTAGAAGTCACAAGATTGCTCTTACTACTGATGAGAAAAGGCATTTAGCAGTTTCTATTTACTAAAATAATTGCACTTCCATGTTGTGTACTGTGGGAGACCAGATATAGTGCATGCAGGGTTCTGGGTTTAGTAACACTTTAAGTCGAAAAAAAGATAGGTTATAAAAAAATGGAAAGATTTGATTTAATCCTGTCATTACCATAGTGAGGGGGGTAGGGAGGAATCGATGAAGGAAAAATATAAGCAGATCAGGCTTCGGCTTTAATGATACACGCTTTAGCAAACCAAATGTCATCCAGTTAGGGTTTATATGGACTTTAATGCAAAGATGTGTGACACTTTGATGTTGCAGTTGGCTGCATTTCTGAGCACAGAGGATGTGGTGTCAGTGAAGCTGCTGCTTATTGAGCTTAATTCTATATCTGGCATAGCATCCAATTCTCCAGCGTTGAAGAGATTTGCAGCATCTTCCAATTTACTGCTATCAATGATCTTCACAGAGCATACCAGAGAACAGATCCCTTTAATATGCAAATAAGTCAGCAATTGTGTTTTGATGATCCACATGGCTTTTCCCCATCAAGAGCAATAATCCAGCCATAAAGACGGAAGGAATTGCTGCTAACTGACTGGTGAACGGGCCGACTTAATGACCTATTTGTATTCATGTATTTTAATGTTTGTTTGCATTCTTAAAGGACAAGTGCAGCGAACCCTGATGTCTGGATTGGGATGGGAGAGCGTAATAATGGAATTGCATATGAAACTGAACTCCAGGCAGATATAAAAGACACCAATTAATGCAGCTCTGTATTCAATAATATATCATTAAATGTATTTTTTAATGCAAGCAATGCAAGTACAGTACCTGTGTTTGATCTGTTATCAGACTCTTGCAGCTCCTGTACAGCAGAGCTCAGGCTGGAGGAGGGAAAAGCAGCAGAAGGAACCAATTAGTTCTATCGCAGAGCATGATGCATCCAGATAGGAAAAGAGCAATAGTGACCTCATCAGTATGCTGCTTCTCCTTCCACTGTCCAGTCGCAGATTGGGGGAGGGACAAGACTTGTAAGTGTTACTTACGTGCAGCAGAGAATATTTATTTCAGGTACTTATATAGTGCTGTCAATTTACACAGTGCTTTACACATATATATTGTACATTCACATCAGTCCCTAACCCTCAAGGGGTGTACAATCTAAGGTCCCTAACTTACATTCATACATACACATACTAGGGCCAATTTACCTGCCAGCATGTCTTTGGAGTGTGGGAGGAAACCAACGCAGGCACCGGGAGAAAATGCAAACTCCAGGCAGGTGGTGCCATGGCTGGGATTCGAACCGACAACCCTAGTACTGCCAGGTGGAAGTGCTAACCATTTAGCCACTGTGATGCCCAATAATCCAGTCATTCTGCCCTTCCAGATAGGACTGAGCAATGTGGCAGAGAGCTGAGGTTAGACACACCCCCCTGCTGAGTCAGAGCTAGAATTCTCCAATCAGCATACAGCACAAATTTTGCTAATTGCAGCGCTATAACTCGGACTAAAAGGGCCACTGATGGACCTCAGCCGAGAGATCACTGGTTCCATACAGAGAACAAGGGTGCTTATCTTCAGCATGCTGGGGACGGAGGAGGGGCAGGCTTTTCTACTCAGGCTGTGGCTGCTTTCCAACACAAACCAACTGTAAGTCTAGGTTCACACCTAAGCGTTTTCTGCAGCGTTTTGCAGAATTGCACTACAGTCCATTTAACATGACTTCCTATGGGACACATTCACATCTCCGTGTTTTCACCCGGTGCGTTTTTTGAAAAGAGTCAGGGACTATTTTAAATGGAAATAGTTGCGTTTTTGGTTCTAAAGACCTCAATGGAGACGCTGCAGAAAAGCATGTAGTGCGTTTTCCTGCATTTTTGACACATTTTTGATGCGTTTTTTTGTTTTAATCTGCCTAGAAACAAAAATAAAAAACACAAAACGCGGCAAAAACGCATGTGCAAAAACACAAATCACTCCGCAAAAGGACTGCAGAAATGGATCAATTGCAAACTGCATAGGTGTAAACCTAGGCTTAGACTTCTTTTATTTTGGTGCACTTGAAATGTATTTAGCTGATTCAGCCTGGATTCACATATATGCGTTGCGGTAAATCGCATGTGATTTTCACATGAACCGCACTGCATTCCTGTGCAAATCATGTGAGATTTGTGTGCGGTGCGACAGGAGCCATACATTTTGTAGGGCTCAAATCACACCACACCAAAAAGGTGCAGGACCCTTTTTTGGGTCCACACTAGAATTGGATCGTATGGGTATTCACACCTATGCAATCTGATTCTGTACATTGCACCGCGTTTTGTGGACCGCTTTTGGGGCGTTGTTAACTTACCATACACACCTGCAGCGGTTCACATGAATGGGGTACGATTCTGATGCGGTGCAGAATTCGCACTGAAAACGCTGCGAATTCTGCACCACATCAGTGTGAACCAGGGCTTAATGGCCAGCTCCAGGAAACTTTAAAATGATCCCATGCAGGAAGGCTGCCCTGGACCTTGCACTACAAAGGTTAATTGCTTGTCTATGTCTAAGGGACACAGAAAAGATGTGCTTACTTGGTCCTCTGCGCCTCCATGCTGCCAGACCAGTTCTCACAGCATCGTCTCCTTCATCCTCCAGCAGTCTAAGGTTCTGACATCATCAAGATCAATGCAGGGTTCATAGCCTTGCACTGGATGTGATAATGTCAAGGAACAGTCCACTGTCAGGGCATTGGGGAGCTCCACCTTCTGAGGGAGTGGAGGATCAGGTAAGTAAATGTACGTCTCCTCTCTCCTAGACAAAACAAGCAGGCAACCCTTGCAAAGTGGACTGCATGGGATAATTGTAACATTTTCCAGAGTTGAACTTTAACATCTTGCCCCGCGGCCACGTGAGCGGCTTGTTTTGACAGGACATCATATGACGCCCAGTCACAACAGCGAGTGTCCCGCCCAGCCTATGGCAGAATGACGGCTGGGCGGGACACTCGCCATTGTTACTGGGCCTCATATGATGTCCTGTCAAAACGAGCCGCTCAAATGGCCGCAGGGCTGCCCAGCAGCGCGATCTGTCACCGGCTGTGTCCACGGGACACAGCCGATGACGTATCACTACATCGTCCCGTTGCCAGTATCATGTGACCACTGTGACCAATCACAGCAGATCACATGTCAATTGTATACAATGGATGACTTCCTGTCATGCCATCCATTGTATACAATTGCGTTGTTGGCTGTGATTGGTCAAAGCAGTCACATGGTACAGACAGAGCCATTCACAGTCTATCTGTATCATGTGATCAGCTTTGCCCAATCACAGCTAATCACAACAAAAGACTGAATCAGTTTCATTCAGCAACAATGATTGCAAATATCAATGAAATACATTGGTATGAGGAATCATAATGTGTTAAAAAAAAAAAAAAAATCCTGATCACTTGCCCAGAGTAGTTCAATGTTACTATGGTAACATTGTATTGCTTTGGTCACAATGTGTTGAAAAAAAAATTGTAAATAAAGAAAAAATAATGTAATAAAAAATAAATAAAATAGCAAAATGTGAAAAAAAACATAAATTAAATTATTATTATTATTTTTATTATTTTCACCAAAGAAATGTAGCTCAATACATATTGACCTAAATGTATGAAGAAATGTTATTTATTTGCAAAATTTTATAACACAAATGAAGAAAAGTAAGTTTTTTTTTTCAAAAGTTTCAGGTGGTTTTTGTTTTATTTAGCAAAAAATAAAAAACTCAGTGGTGATTAAATACCACCAAAGGAAAGCTCTATTTGTGTGAAAAAAAATGCTAAAAATGTCATATGGGTACAGTGTTGCATGACCGCGCAATTGTCATTCAAAGTGCGACAGCGCTGAAAGCTGAAATTTGGCCTGGGCAGGAAGGGGGTATAAGTCCCAGTTATGAAATGGTTAAACTGAAAGTTCGTTGGATTTAATAGTGCAAACGTTTTGGATCTGCCATTCAGCATGAAAAGCAAACCACATTTGCTTGTCTCTGTTAACTGCTTCTAGCTGTGCCGGAAACCTATAGACTATTTATAATTCAATGCACTTTTAGGTTCTTTACCTGCATAGTACTTTAAATGAAGAAAAGCCTTGAAAAGTGGGAACTTTCTTTGCAGTCAAGTGAGCCTCATTTGATTGATAGTGTTTAGTTGGGAACTTTTTTCCTGGTCTAAAAGTAACAGTTCCCTGCTGAAGGAGATATAATACATCAAGTGAGCGTGTATTGTCATGTCCCTTAAATGCTTTAGTCTTCCCCCTCTATTATGTATGAACCTTCAGAGAGAGGAATACATTACGTTTGGAGCTGGTGGGAGAACATTCCCTCTTTCTCTCTCTCTCTCTCCGGCTCATTTTCCTTTCCCATTTTCAAAAAATGTTCACATAATATGACTAGAAATGTACAGAATAACCATAGCATTAATGGAAGCTGTAATGGTTCTTGTTTCTTTTTGTTTTAGGTTTTTAAAGTTAAACTTTAGTATTACTAACAGCTTTAGGCCGGGTTTACACTTGTGCAGTGCGGTATATCACAAGTGATTCGCAAAGGAACCGCATCGCATTCCTGTGCAAATTACATGCAAATTGTGTGCGGTGCGATCGGAGCCATACATTTTGTATGGCTCAAATCGCACCGCATCTGCACCAAAAAGGTGCAGGACCCTATTTTTGGTCCGTGTTAGAATCGAATCCCGTGGGTATTCACACTCATGCGATCCGATTCTGCAAATAGCACTGCGTTTTACGCACCGTTTTTGGGTGTTGTTAACTTAACATACACACCCACAGTGGTTCGCATGAATGGAGTGCGATTGTGATGCGGTGTGGAATTCGCACAGAAAACGAGAATTCTGCACCGCATCAGTGTGAACCCAGATATAAAGAAGAAGACCCTGCCTAAACAAGTAGCACATAGTAGATTGCACAATGGCATGAGGTCTGGTATGTTGTAGATGCTCATCAGTGGCAGAACTACCAGGGTCGCAAAGGTCGAACTTGCGACCAAGCCCCGGCGCTCCGCCACTGTGGGGGGGCCCAAGACCCGGCTTGTCCT